GAGAACATGTCTCTATATAATTAATGTCAGGATATTTACAAATCTTCTTGTAACACAAGTCGTCTTTATGTCTATCGACTTGACCTTTTTATTTTCGCACAAGAACACATGTATACCTCCACTGGCTTTATACTTTTAGGTATTGGGACTATCCGTCTAACTTCATATTTTTCAGGTAAAATCAATTTTCATTGCGTATTTTTCATTTGGCCAATCATTTATCTGTCCAAATTTCATGACAGATTTGAGCTCAAGATCCTCGTTAATATCAATAATATTGAGCGCTATATTATATTAACAATATCATCGACGATCATTTTATATCGGTTCTACTATTACCCAATAAAGACATAACTTATTGAGATTTATTTATCTTATTATTTTCAGGTACCTGAGCCTCCCCCGTGAGGTCTTATGAAGTATTATGTCGTGGTGCTCTTCTAGAGCACTTGCCTTCTTATTATGACATCTTGAACATTTGCTACTCTCCTTCTTGAAGGAGTTTTATCTTTATAACTGATTAGTTTATTATGCTTCATGCATGCCATATACTCTATTCATTATGAACTTTATTTTATTTGGAGCATTAGCAGCTGAATATGACATTTAGCTTTGGGTCAGCAAATACGTCTGACAATATTTTACAAATGAATTATCACTTGCACTTCAAGTTCACATTTTCTCGTACGAGGATCTAGATGCACTCATAATAATTCATTACATGCATTACTTTTTCAGCTGCCCATTTTCTCCCCCTAATATTGGGATCACCAACACATATCCCTAGCCTTATTTGGGGATCCATCTTTGTACGTTATGGTAGAACAATTAAATCATATAGCACATTCATATTTTTAGATAGAAATTATTTGGTTCCTGACCCTGAACCGATTGTGGTAGGGAGAACTTATCATAACTTGGCTAGATGCGTACAAGTCCTGTTGTATATTAAATAATACATCACATACCAAAATTTATTTTGGCAGTTTTGTTCTCATAACCAATGGTTTAGATATAATTGGAGGCATACAATTTCTGCTAAACTGGCTTGGATTTAAACTAGTATTATCAAGATAAATCATCATAATTTATATTCTGGAACTGTGCTCTAATAATTTGAGCAATCAATCTTGCAAAAGCCAAACTGCAAGTTGATAACAAATGCACACGTGACTATAGAATAGATGCATCTATTAAAATCATATAAAGTAAACGGTCCACATGGCAGGTGACTGGGCTCATATATTTATCATCTTTTATTTGTTCCAGAAATCAAGGGATTCAATCCCAATCTTAACTGGTATATCATGAGAATAAGCAGCACAAGAAAATTTTTGAAGAATCTTTTATTTCTTCAATACATGACAATGTAATTCTCAATTAATTTATCGCATCATAATTGAACCGGTATGGTCAATCGGTCATGCCAACTAATATTTGTTTCAGTAAACTTTTAGTTTACTTGTGACATATGATTCCATTATCATACATATATTTGTGTAGTATAAAAAGAAAAAAAATCGGATAACCTTTCATATTTACCCGTTATGATTATAGAAATATGAAGATATTCAATATTCCTTCCATTTATAGTCTCAATATGCCAACCACTTTGACTTATACATTTGAAACTCAAAACGTTTCTTTTGAGACTTTACAATATCAATATCGTGAATAATTTTATTTATCCGGGTAATAATAAACTATTTTTTTCGGAGCTCTTAACAATTTTTGTACTACAAGATCTTTTATCACACCATTCTTATGGTAAATATCTCCTTCACGGAGAAAATTATATCATAATAAATTGTCATGGTCAAAATCATCATAAGCAAAATCATTTCTTGCTTTAATTTTACCTTTAATAACCTTTTATAAGGCACAATAATATATATATTTTTTGGCGTATCACATGTACGCGACCAATGACATATTCATGTAACCACACAATAATATTTATTCTCTTTATTTCACTCAAACCTCCCTCAGAGGTGAGTTGTGTGGTATTCATCTAATCATGTACTGCATATTTTTATTCATTACTTTTATCACATATTGTCACATTCACCTTTAGGAATGGGTCTGCATTCTCATTGCTTATCACATGTCACATTCTCTTCAAGGCATGGATCATAATTAGCAGCGTGCTTTATTATTTTTCATACCAATTTGATGATAAACATTGCCTTCACATTTTGAAGGACTATTTTGAGAACCCTTATTGTTCTCCTTTTATAATCATAGTGATTATTATTATTATTATTTTGATCTTTGGAACGCCCACGTTTATTGTTCAACCACTTGTCTTTATTTAGACTTATTATGCGCCGCTACTATATTCACTTCAAGAATGGAGCAAATCAAGTGGGACAATATTAATGCCTTTTCATGAAAAATATATTATTTTTCTTTAGTTTTCATTATATCATCAATATGGTATAGTGGGACTCAAACCCAATGTCTTACCAATATAAAGGCATGTTAGACCATAATGAATTGGGACTCAAACCCAACTCTTATCAGGACTTGATCCTGATCTCTTACCCTCATGGTGTATTACGACTTGAACTCATTGAAATTGATATCATTAATAGCAAAGGACAAAAACAATTTCAAATATGAAGAAAATGCTTACCTCTTGAGTTATACTCTTCATAACGTCATTTGGATATAATTCTCAACAATAGACTTTCGTTTACTCAAATCAGCTAAGTAATTAGTGTCAAACAAATATATGAAAATACAAAATAATATTAAAAATTTACATATGGTCTTTGCTGCAATAAGCTTACTTCAAGATGAAAGTGATATGACGAGAACATTAAGGAAAAATTATGTATCAAACAGAATAATAGTACTACTAGTTACCATGCACTTTTGTGGAAACTAAGTATTATGCTCTCTAGAAAAATAAAAGATATAACAGAACCTTTAAGTCAATTAGGGAATCAAAAAAATAGTGGACAAATCTCTGTCTACTATGTACTACTATATGTTTTCCATATAGAAATGATTCAACATATTAATTTGATAAGAACTATCATCAATGAAAAATTTGGTGTAGTACATACTTCTTGTACTAATGTTTTATCTTATCAAAATAAAATAGTTATGATTATTATTATTATAATATTATATTTGACAGTAAACTAACGTATAATAATTATATCAGGCATACTAAAATCGTATTATAAGGTAAAACCATAAGCATACATAATAAAGTATAATTTTAATTTTGTAGATTATTTAGTATATCGCATGCCACTTATTATTTAGTTTGTGAAAATTTAACAAGGTGACATCCTTAGCAGCCACATAAATACTAATTTTTTAATAACCAGACCATTGCTTATTCTAAATAGTGGTACAAACTTATCTGGTTTAAAGCTCAGACTTTTATTCAGAAAAGTATCTGTTCTATATCGCTTAGCTTGTTTTTTCGTGCTGATAACGTGTTATAAAATATAGCTCAAAGTAACAATATAGAACAAGAAAAAAAACAAGCTAAGAGATATAGAGAGAAAGAAAGGAGAGATTCTTATTCTTCTTCAATTGTATGTATTTTTCTATCTATTACAAGACCTTTATATAAGCATGAAAAGTGATGAAAAATATGTCATTAAGCATTTGAGAAGATCATGGATGAAGAGTAGACATCCACCATAATTTGATTTTTCTTACAACAACCACAAATATAATTTTAATTAATGATCAAAGTAAAAAGAATTAAGCTTGTTAGTGGCTCATAGTTGGTAGACTAGCTATTTTTAAAAACGAACACACACATATATGTCTCCTTGCAATTGGATGATGGTAGCTTGATATTGCACCTCAATATTGTAAGATGAAGAGGTTACAAATATATTACGGTTTTTTTCATCTAGTTCCTTTTTGCGTAGCAATTTAATAAATGCTTCAAGTTTGTTGATGGTTAGCCACTTTGTCTTGGATCAAATATATTAGGTTTGCATCAAATATGTTAGGTTTGCCTAGTAATGATCATTATAATAAGAAATTCGTTTCAATCGGCTGTGAAAAAACTAGTGAAAGAAGTAGAGATTATTGAAGGTGAATATCTTAATCCATCGTTCAATTTATTTTTGGGTAACTAATATTTTTGAAATCAATACAAAACGATAGCTAAACTGTCACAACTTGCTATCTAAATATCAAAAATCAAAATCTTAATATACTTCTAGAACATAAGTTGTTGTACAATATTTCTAACTCCAGGGGGAGCTCTAACATTACAAACACTTTCCTCTTGCAATATTATCTCAAGTTCTACTTCTACGCTAAAAGATTCTGATTTCTTTCAATCCAATTGATATATATACATTCTACATAAACCATTATGACAAGTTGAGCAGCTTGTGATCTTTCCTATAAGTTTGTAATAGCCCAATTCAAATATATAATTGAATATATACACTGCCATTGTAATATATATTTATATGCTACTTGATATTAATAAATAAAAAATAGATAGATTAATTGTAGCCAATTAGTAGCCAGATTTACAAGTGGTAATTAAAAAATAGTCATAGTTTCAAAAGTAATCGAAATTTAGCCACTTTTCATATAAAGATAAATCTGAACGAAAACACTGTTCAAAATTTGAAAAATATTACAGCATAATATACTGGAGTTCGATTTTTTTTACATGTAAACGTCCAACATAATATGATGGAGTTCCCGTATATAACATAATATGCTGGAAGTTCATACACATGTGCTCCAATCTCCAGTATATTATGCTAGAACTTTCCGTGTTGCAGTAAAATAGTAGCTATTTTTCAATGACTTTGCAAATACTGGCTATTTTTCAATTACCAGTCCGAAAACAGACTAGCCCGTGCTATTTCACCAATTAGTAGGCTAAGTTGATACACAAATGCCAAATTCCCTTTCTATTCCTAGTACTAGTAAATACTCATGAAAAGAAGTTTGTCAGGCCGGCCCATTTATGAGAATGTTTACGCCCAGGCACAACTAGGCTTCATTCAGCTGGACCGGAAAGAAGAAGAAACAAGCAAAAGATCAGCCCAACAAGAAATCTCAATCAGCTAAACTCTCCCTCATCGGCGAAGTAAAGAAACGTTCTTCAGTTTATCTATCAAAACCCTAACAAGTAAGCATGGCCCGTGCGCAGACACGCACAAATCGAGAAATGGTCCAATTTTTTTTTTAAAACATTTTTCCATAGCTCCATTTTCGTGGATTTTGCTTTTTTATTCGGTTGAAATCTCTAACCCGAGGTCAGTTTCCATTTCTAACCTGAGATTATATTCAGTTTACGTTTCTTGTTTTAGAAATATTGATTAGAGTTTTCAGCAATTTCAGTTTCTGAAGTGCATTACAAATATTGTATGGAGCAATTTTTGTTCCTGGAAGATTTAGGTCAAATGGCATTATCCTAAAGGTTTTATCTTTTGGAAATTATATGCCAATTTACATGTCAAATACTTTCTGAAACTGGGTAAATTAGTGTTTTGAACATTTAATTTCATAGTTAATCTGAAGAATGTGTTCAATTTTGGAAGAACATTTGTGTTGTTTGGTGTTGGAAATTAAAGCATTGAAACTTTCTGTTTATAATTTCTCTTGCTTACGTTGCTCTAACTTTTTTTTAATAAAAAAATAGGAGAAAATAATTTCTCTTGCTTACTTAGTTTTAGGCAAATTGCATACAAATGGGAAAGAGGGAAATGGATATACATAAGCAAGTATGTATAAGGCTATGTACTCTTCATTTTGCCTTGAACACCTATGCCATGTGTGTATAATATGGTTGTGCATCATATATGTATAAATGGTTTAAGTATATGTTATTTGATTCTTTAAAATATACAGTAGAACTCTACTAGAACTTTGGTAATCCACCTCCGATCTACACCCGCTAAAGAATTGCCGTCTCTTGCACTATTTTGAGGCAAAATGGCTGTTACTGAATGTTCAATCAGTGGACAAGAACTTGACTGGAACTTTGGTAATCCACCTCCGATCTACACCTGCTAAAGAATTGCCGTCTCTTGCACTATTTCAGGCAAAATGGCTGTTACTGAATGTTCAACCAGTGGACAAGAACTTGACTGGAACTTTGGTAGCTAAATGGAAAAAAGGCTTCCTAAGAAGCCAGCTTGGGCTTGTTGAGTTTGCCTACCAAATGGGTTGCGAGTCAGGAAAAGCGGTCATGGGGACTCAGGTCGGGGGTGCAACATAACTAATAGAGACAGAGTCATTCCATTTACGGCGAGACAAAATGCACGGTCACAGGTGATGCCAGTTAATTAGATTTGTCATGGTTCAGAAAATAGGGAGAAGAACCATGAACACCAGGGTTAAAGGAGTCTGAACTAAATAGATCTATATTGAGAGAATGCTGATTTCCTAATCTTCCCCTGTCACTGGTTTATGGGAGTTTCCTAATAGGAGCATAAGAGTATTTGGAACACTAAACAAGGAGTTATTTAAGCTATCAACCAAAGCAGCTGTAAGCAGAGTTATGCAAAACGTTTATTAACTTAATCTCAGCCTGGAGGTTCATGTTTGAGATTCTTTAAAATTTTTACCAGAAACTAAAGTCCCGACAGTTTGGTAAACGTGCTAGTTCAAAACTCAAGAAAGATAAGTTTTTTAGAGCCCACCATAAAAATCATACCAACCATTAAAAGAGGTTCTTGAGTTTATGGCAGAAGAAGTCGAGCCCAATAAGATGTATATCTTCTCAATTTTTTTGGAGTAACACAGCTTTATTAAATTACGTAGGTGCCATGATTGACTTTCTTATCTCATTACACATTTCGTAATTGTAGCCCTCTTGTAATTACTTACCGGCACGCTCTTGTTGCTGAGATCTATGTACTTACTCTTTTAAAAATCAAAACGAATTTGAGACCAATACATGCGTCCATCTATAGCAATGGATTTGTGGAAACTACTAGCAATTCTAGAGTTTGAAGCTTTTGTTAGATTTTTATTTTGCCTCAATAGTATGTGCGCGCGCATGTGTTTAAACTACTTCGCAAAGTCATAAACCAACTCCGCACTGGAGAATTACTCGTGGATTTGTGAAAATGATCTTTGTTAATCAGTGAAATAAATCTCTCTCTGTGGCAATGTTTTAATGTCCTTGCTGAATCAATTAATTTAAGAAGACTGGGATTGGCATCTAACTTGTAAAATGTGGAATTTCCTTGATAGGCCATCACATGTTAGACTCTACTGCATAATCTTTCATGCATCCACTTTCATCATACTTCAATTCGAATCGAAGCTTTCTTCTGTTTATCTAGCTAGTTGTCCCATCCCAACCAAAAACCCCAACCAGCTAGTTGTCCATCATTGGCTACCTAAACAAGCTTTCTTCTGTTTATCTAGCTAGTTGCCCCATCCCAACCAAAGTGTATTATGAAGATTGTATTTGATGCCAGTTTCCATTGTTTTGGATTTTGTTTTGTGTATGTTAAAAGCCTCTTGCTTTACAAAGAGTGATTAGACTGTTGTGAAATTTTAGTTCTAAAGTGCATTATGGAAATTGTATTTGAGTTTTTCTTTTTCTTTTGGCGAGCAATTTTGTTGCACGGAAGATTTAGGTCCAAATGGCAAAGGTTTTCTCTTTTCTAAACTATGTCATGTCAAATACTTCCTGACATTTGCTGATCAATCTCTATTTTTCTGAGTAAATTCCATTTAGTAGAAGATGGGAATGCCTCTTTTGTGCAATTGACATTTTTGTAAGGAGATGTATGTATGTATATGGTTGTAGTTAATTGAGTTTCAAAATGTAGCATTTAGGAATTTGTAAGCATTTGCAGATTTTGGCTATTGTCAAGAAATCAAAATTGCTTTCATGTTGCTTGTTGGTTCCTTGTTTGGTCTTTATCTTCTGCAGATTCATTTTTGCACAGTAAGAATTGGCAGAAAGGTTTTTCTATAATCAGAACAGTACAGAAAATTACATATTATATGGTCCCGCAGTGTATATTCTTCGGGTACTCAGGTTTCCCTGATGTGCTCTTACAATGCACAGGGAAAATTTTCACTCTTAACATTATCAACGACCAAGGGAACATATGGTTCCTTTGCTCCAAAGAAAGTTTACGCAAGTTTTTATACCTTGAACATTTGACGGCTGGATAAGTGTTAAAGTAAATCACTGGTAAGTGACCCGTCACTATTTCTATGGATACATTGACAAGTCTATATATTTACTGATTGCTCAAAAATAATTCTATCATTAATAGGATACAATATGTTCAAAGCATGTGCTCCAACCACCATCATTTGTCATGTTGAATACATGTATATTTTGGTTGGAAAAAAGTAGTTCAGAGCTCCATTTTCTTGTGTTTTGGTTTTTACTCATTCTGTTCAGGTTAAAATCTCCAATATGAGGTTAGTCCCGCTGTGTGTGGTCTTTCTGAGAATGACCTTTTTTTTTATGTATATGTTAATGGCTTTTGGTTTTAAGAATATTGACTACAGTGTTCTGAAATTTTAGTTTCTAAAGTTGCTTTTGAAGATTGTAATGAGCTTCCTTTGGTCCGACAATTGAGCATTTTTAGAAATATTTGCTCTGCCTTAGCACCTCGGCCGCACGCACTTATTTTTCAGTGCAGTATTTTTGAGACCAAGGATAATGAGGGTAAAACACATACTTTTGTCCATCAACAAGATCAAAAGTATGTGTTTCTCCCTTAGTATCCTTGGCCACAAAAAAGTGCACTAGGAAATAAATGGGTGCGGCCGAGGTGCAAAGGCAGATGTCTGACATAGAAGCCATGATAGACTTTTTGAGTTCTTTACACTTGCAACAGTGAAGATCTTTTTTGTAAATACTTGTACAACACTTTCTTGTTGCTGGATACTCAATTCTTAACAATAATAGTAATAAAAAGCTTTCTTGGTGGAGGCTTAAATTGGAGTTTGATTTGGAAAGGAAGTATCCTTATATTATACTCAAACAAAATAAATTCTTCCACCAAAAAGGTTGGATTTAGTAAACCAACAGGAACATAGTTTCTTGTGGTTTTATTCTTTGCTTTGATAACTATCAAAATTTATACTCATAACTCAGTGTTGAATATTTGTAACTGGAGCAAATTGCTTGAAGATGCAGCAAGAGTCTAATTGGCTTATATTCCAGAATTAGTTTTCTCATTTAATTAGCTGATTTGAACCTCATGATGGTTCATTGTTTACTCCTTGTTAAATAAATCTTCATCTTGATCCATTTACACCAAGGTGATTGTAACTGTAAAAAGTGTTTTACATCCCAGCCATACCAAAAAGGTTATCTCCGTGTACAAAGTATTTTGCGTTCTATTAGTGGCGTAACCACATACATCGAACTTCGAAGGGTGGTCAACCGAACATCCTTCATCAAAAAATTATATTATGTATATAGAAACCTATATTGTATATATAAGTCAAATATTATTTTTTTATGTGTATATTAAATTTTGAACATCTTTCGTAAATTTTTTTGGCTTCGTCACTGTGTTCCACGCAAGGTTCGGGAAAGAGCCGCACCCCAAGAGGTCATGTGATGTAGACAACCTACCCTAATGCTAGTATTAATGGCTTATTTTACCATTGCTCTGATGCTCCCCTCTACATCCCAGCCATAACCCANCAATTCTTAGAAAGTTCAAAAAAATGGGAGGAAAAGATTTGTCAAAGGTCCATGCCCAGAGGATAGAAGCTGGGGAAAAAAAAGAAAAAGAAAAGGAAAAAAAAAGAAAAAAAAAAAGAAAAAAGAAACCTTAATGCAATCCATAAGAGATTCATTCAACTCGTTCATGCAAGAGAAAAATTGAGTTCACACAAATTAAACAAAGCAACGATCACCAACTTTGACGAGAAGAATGATCCAGTGGAACTTCTTTAGAAGTTAAAATGGGAAAAAAGGACAGCTAAATGATAAGAAGATGATAATGTTATTCTTGCATCAAACCAATATTGGAAGTTTCTTCAATCTAGCCAGCTGAACAACAGTTGAATTTGACAGAAATAGAAATTTGATCTTCTTGATTAGATGAGATGAGAGACTCAATTCTTTGAGTTGGTAATTAAATAAGTCTTGGCAGATTTAATGACAGTCTGCAGTGGCTCAACCATGGTAAATGCATGATTTGCAAGCTTCACATCTTCCACTTCATAACTCACTGTAAATTTTGTAATACATGAATTTTCATCTTTCTCAATCACCTCAAACCGAATTCCATAAAAGATATAGCCAAGATCAACATATCCACCTTCAATCACCTCAGACTGCTTGTATCTTTTCTCATTATCCACTATATTGAGTCTCTCCTTGAAATAGGGTATTCCTGGTGTACCTATTTTAAGAAAATAAACATGATCAATATTATAAATACATTTAATTAGATGCCCCTTTATGATGTTGATCAACAACATCAATAACAGACCCAGTGAAGTCCACAAGTGAGGTATGTGGAGAGTAGTGTATACGTAGACTTGCCCCTACCCGGTGAGCAGAAACGGATACCAGGATTTAGATTCTATGAAGTTCAACTTTTAAGGTTTTTAGCATTAAACCCACTGTAGTTTTGAAGGTATGAGTTCGGACCTACTATTTGTTGTAATTTTAATGAATTTTTACATATAAATTTATACTCTATATCGAAAGTACTGGGTTCAGATGAACCCGACAACCATCCGCCCCTGCCTGTGAGGGTAGAGAGGTTGTTTCCGGTAAACCCACGACTCAAAAAAGATGGATTTGTGATGTTGATCACCAAATGAATAAATTATTTTGTTCTAATACTATAGGTAAACATGGGAGATTTAGTTTCGTCGTCCATTTTCTTTTATTTTTTAAAATTACATTAGGGAAGGGAGGAGAAAGGGGAGACGATGCTACGTTATTGGTGGGGTTTAAACCGTTCACCTCAACTGCGGAAAGTTCCTAGCTTACCAAGTGAGCTAGCTAGCCCTCATCATGTTTCATAGTCCATTTGATTTTTATTTATATGACCTTTTTCACAAGAGATCAGTAAAATCTAAAATAGGAGATGAGTAAATAAAACACAATAGACCAATTTGTGTACGGTTTTACCTTGAGGAAAGGTGATTTTGAGGACAGTTCCAGTACTACCATCACCTTCAATTACTTCAACTTTGTCAAGAAGAGTAGGCAACTCTTGCACAATAAACCTAGATAGATGTAACGTGCCATAGAGTTCCCATGCTACATTTGCAGGTACATTCACCTCTATTTCGTCCGAAATCGTCCCCTTCATCCTCCTAACGCCAGTAATAATGGCGGAGCAGAGAGGCGATGGCGGTGCAGAATTTCTTATTAAGCAAATAGTTCGCAAAAGGATGTTATATATGAACTTCTTGTTATGTTAGCTTTAGTTCTTATAATGGTATGTATAGTGGAACATTTAGGTAGAGATAGCTAGTACTTATTTGTCATGAGGACTTTTGAAGTCTAAGTGAAATTTACACAGAAATCTGTCAATGGCTGCATTTGTCCGAGTTTGAATTTGAGCACAAAACGTTGAGAGGAAAGGTCAATAAATTGCAAGAGGGTCCAATAATCCCATCTTGGCTGTGACGCATAGTAAAGGTAAATTGCAAATATTCCGTCTTGGCTGCTAGAATATAAGAACAAAAATGGGCAAGAATTTACGCTTGGTGTCGTCCAAATTTTATTTTGGGAAATGACGTTGTATAGTCACTCTTAAAATAATAACCAATATATATATATATATATATATATATATCAAAATAAATGTACCTTGTTTGTTTATTTGGAAAGTTATTTGGCATAAATCTAGGCGTTTTCCAAAAGGCTGTTTTGCTTAGTTTCGTAAAAATCGGATCCGACCACGTGTGGCGCATTTACCTTTTTTATTTAGAAAGTTCAGATGTCAAATTGCCTATGCGACTTGTTAAAACATTTCAAAGAGATGCTCTTGCTTAAGCACATTCAAATTTTGCTAAGGTCTAAAAAATGAACGAAACTCATTAGAAAAGGTAAGCGAACAGAAGAAATATTATTTGCTAAACTGTAATGACCCGACCGGTCATTTTGAGCATTTGCATTCTGTTCGGTGGTTTGAGGTCATGCGTAGCTTCATATGGTGTATTATGACTTGCATGTATAGTTATTTTTTATTTTCGAGTGGTTCATGATTGATTTGGAAGAATGATTCTCAACTAAGAAGCTTTAAGTTGGAAGAGCTGACCAAGTTTGACTTTTATTAATGTGACCTCAGATCAGAGTTTTTATGGTTCCGTTAGTCCAGCTGGTAATTCTGACCTTGGGCGTATGCCCGGATTTGCATTTGGATATTTCTAGAATTTTCTAGCTTGAATTAGTGACAATTGACAATTTGAAGGTTTAGAATTTCATATGTTTGATCAGGAGTTGACTTCGATGCTATCGGGTTTGGATTGTTGTTTCAGAAATTGGAATATGTTATTTTGGGACTTGTGTGCAAAGTTTGGTTAGATTCCGGATTTGTTAGGCTTGAATCAGACGCTTGGTTCGAAGTTTGAAGTTGTGACGACTAAGTCGGTTGTCTTGTGTATTGTAACCCCATTCCCCTGTTTATTGATTATTCTATATTCACTTGTGGTTACGTGACTTGACAGGGTGGTTGGTTTGGTTTCGGAGATGTTTCAGAGTGAATTGGGATACTTAGTCCCAAGGTTGGAAGCTTAAGTTGAAAATATTGATTGGAGTTTGACTTTTGTGCAAACGACTATGGAATAGCGTTTTGATGGTTCTGATAGATTTGTATGGTGATTTTGGACTTAGGCGTATGTCCGGATATTGATTTGGAGGTCCGTAGGTCATTTTAGCTTGAATTGGTGAAAGTTAGAAAGTTGAA